GGGGGAATGGGGAAAGAGGGAGGAGGAAAGAAGAGAGAGAGAATGATAATACGGATAAGTGAAAGAATAGGAGAGGATGGTAAGAAATTGGATGCTTGGGAGTCCCTTGGTAAATGTGAATGAAAAGAGTAGGTAATCGAGGAAGAAGATTAAGAAGAAAAAAGAGGAGGAGGGGGAGGAGGGGGGTGAGGAGTAGAGGAGGAGGGAGGGGAGGAGGAGGAGGAGAGGAGGAGGAGGAGGAGGAGGAGCGTGGGGGTGAGGGTGGGGGGGAGGGGGGGAGAAAAGAAGACGAGAAAGAGAGAAACAGTCGGAAAGGGAGAGAGTTAGAGGGATATGGAAATAGAAGGCTATGAGTAGGAAGGAAGAATAGAAGTAAGATGATGATGGAAGAAAGGTGAGCAGGAGGAGGAGGAGAGGGAAGAAGGTTGACGAAGTCAGAAGAAGAGGGATAGGAGGAAGAAGGAATAGAGGCGACGGTGAAAAGGGAGAAGGGAGAGGTTGAAGAGCACAGGCAGAAGAGAGGTTAGAAGAAAGGAGAGAAAAGAAGGAGGAGAGTCGACGGGGAGGGAGAGTCTCTCGAACAAAGGAGAGGGGAGAGTCTCTCTCGACAGGGAGGGAGGAGAGAGGGTCTCTCGACAAGGGAGGAAGGAGAGAGTCTCTCGGACAAGGGCAGGGAGGAGAGTGTCTCTCAGACAAGGGAGGGAGGGAGAGAGTCTGCTCGTACAAAGGAGGAGGAGAGAGTCTCTCGACAAGGGAGGGAGGAGAGAGTCTCTCGACAGGGAGGAGGGGAGAGAGTGTCTCGGACAGGGAGGGAGGGAGAGTCTCTCTCTCGACAAGGGAGGGAGGGAGAGTCTCTCCTCTCTCGACAAGGGAGGAGGGGGAGAGTCTCTCTCTCGACAAGGAGGGAGGGGAGAGTTCTCTCCTCGAAAGGAGGAGGGGGAGGAGAGAGTTCTCTCTCGACAAGGGAGGGAGGGAGAGAGTCTCTCGACAAGGGAGGGAGGGAGAGAGTCTCTCTCTCGACAAGGGAGAGGGGAGAGTCTCTCTCACGAGTCTCTCCTCGACAGGAGGAGGAGGAGTCCTCTTTCTCGACAAGAGGGAGGAGAGAGTCTCTCTTCGACAAGGGGGAGAGAGGAAGGAGGGCGTCTCTCTCGACAGAGGGAGGGAGGGAGAGAGTCTCTCTCGACAAGGAGGGGAGGGAGGGGAGAGTCTCTCTCGACAAGGGAGGGAGGAGAGAGTCTCTCTCGACAAGGAAGGGAGGGAGAGAGTCTCTCTCGACAAGGGGAGGAGGGAGAGAGTCTCTCTCGACAAGGGAGGGAGGGAGAGAGTCTCTCTCGAGGGGGGGGAGAGAGACAGGGAGGGAGGGAGAGAGTCTCTCTCGACAAGGGAGGGAGGGAGAGAGTCTCTCTCGACAAGGGAGGGAGGGAGAGAGTCTCTCTCGACAAGGGAGGGAGGGAGAGAGTCTCTCTCGACAAGGGAGGAGGAGAGAGTCTCTCTCGACAAGGGAGGGAGGGAGAGAGTCTCTCTCGACAAGGAGGAGGGAGGGAGAGTCTCTCTCGACAAGGGAGGGAGGGAGAGAGTCTCTCTCGACAAGGGAGGGAGGAGAGAGTCTCTCTCGACAAAGGGAGGGAGAGAGAGTCTCTCTCGACAAGGGAGGGAGAGAGTCTCCTCGACAAGGGAGGGAGGGAGAGTCTCTCTCAGACAAGGAGGAGGGAGAGAGTCTCTCGACAAGGGAGGGAGGGGGAGCAGAGGTTCTCTCTCGACAAGGAGGGAGGGAGAGAGTCTCTTGAAAGGGAGGGAGGGGAGGTCTCTCGACAAGGGAGGGAGGGAGAGAGGTCTCTCTCGACAAGGGAGGGAGAGAGAGTCTCTCTCGACAAGGGAGGAGGGGAGAGTCTCTCTCGACAACGGGAGGGAGGGAGAGAGTCTCTCTCGACATAGGGGGGAGGAGAGAGTCTCTCTCGACAAGGGAGGGAGGGAGAGAGTCCTCTCTCGGGGAGCGTGGGAGGGGGAGAGCGCACGAGGGAGAAGGTTCGCGAGGGAGAGGGGGCTAGAAGGGGGGGATAGGGGTAGGGAGTAGTGGGGGGGTGGGGTGAGGGGGGGCGAGGGAGTTACACACGGTGCCAGGCGCCACGCTTGGTCCCACCGAGTCAGTCATCGCTCAGCCTTTGGGGTGTTCGAGCGCGTTGAAAGGGTCCTCTCGTGCGTTCGTGTGTGCGTTTTCTCGCGTACGTGCTCTCGCTATTGCCTCTGGCCGATCCAACCCGGGAATCTGTTCTTACCTGCTTGCTACTTAGCCTTTTGGGGGAAAAAAAACACCTTTTTGGAACGCTTTGAAGGTGAGTGAGCTTTAGTTTTAAAAAAAAATTATAGTTTATTTGTTTATTCCGTTTAGCGAGTGCGCGGGTAGATATGTCGCTTATCTCTCTCTCTCTCTCTCTCTCTCTCTCGCTTCGTCTTTATTCTGCGAGACTTCCATTCTTGTGTGGGATTGGCGCGCTCGTCTTCGGGGGGGAATTGTATCAGGTTCTATCACCGTGTTTCATTTTTATTCTCTTTTTTCAAGTACTTTGATCTTTTCTCTCTGTCTGACTGTCTCTCTTGTTCTCTCTATCTCTGTCTCTCTAATCTCTGTCTCTATCTCTGTCTCTCTATCCTGTCTGGTCTCTCTCTCTGTCTGTCTGTCTCTTGTCTGTCTCTCTGTCTGTCTCTCTCTCTCTCTCTCTCTTCTCTCTCCTCCTCTCTCTCTCTCTCTTCTCTCTCTCTCTCATTCTCTCTCTCTCTCTCTCTCTTCTCTCTCTCTGCTCATTCACTCGCTCACTCATTCTCTCTCTCATTCACTCGCTCACGTCATTTTCGTCTCATTCCACTCCACTCACTCATCTCTCTCTCTCACTCACTTCTTCTGCTCTACCACCACTCATTCTCTCTCTCACTCACTCACTCACTCACTCACTCACTCACTCATTCTCTCATCCACTCATTCTACTCTCTCACTCACTCACTCACTCATTCTCTCTCTCTCCTCTCTCTCTGTCTCTCCACTCACTCCACTCCCTCACCACTATTCTCTCTGTCTTCTCACTCCCTCACCTCACTCACTCAGTTATTCTTCTCTTTACTCTGTCGTCTGTGCTGTGTCTCTCCTCTCTCTTTCTCCTCTCTCTCTCTCTCTCCCTCTCTCTCTCTCTCTCTCTCTGTTTCTCTCTCTCTCTCTTTCTCTCTCTCTCTTCTTCTTCTCTCTCTCTCTCTCTCCTCATTCTCTCGCTCACTCACTCATTCTCTACTCACTCAATTCTCTCACCCACTCATCTCTCACTCACTCATTCTCTCAATCACTCATTCTCTCACTCACTCATTTCTCTCTCTCACTCATTCTCTCTTCTCACTCATTCTTCTCACTCACTCATTCTCTCTCTCACTCACTCATTCTCTCTCCACTCCTCATTCTCTCTCTCATCACTTCATTACTCTCTCTCACTCATCATTCTCTCTCTCACTCACTCATTCTCTCTCTCTCTCACTACTACCTCACTCACTCAACTCTCTCTCTGTCTCTCACTCCCTCACTCACTTATTCTCTCTCCTCTCTCTCACTCCCTCACTCACTTATTCTCTCCTCTCTCTCTCTCTCTCCTCTCTCTCTCTCTCTCTCCTCTCTCTCTCTCTCTCTCTCTCCTCTCTCTCTCTTCTCTCTCTCTCTCTCTCTCTCTCTTCTCTCTCATCTCTCTCGTCTCTCTCTCTCTCTCCCTCTCTCTCTCCCCTCTCTCTCCTCTCTTCTCCCTCTCTCTCACCTCTCTCTCCCTCCTCTCTATCTATTCTATCTTCTATCTCTCTCTTTTCTCTTTCTCTGTCTGTCTGTCTTGTCTCTCTCTTGTCTCTCCAAACGTTCTCTCTCTTCGCTCCTCTCTCTTCTCTTCTCTCTCTTCTCTTCTCTCTGTCCCTCTGTTCTCTCAAACGTCTCGCCTTTTTTTACCGTTCTTTGCGACTAGCCCGGAGAGGTATTGATTAGGGAGGATGAGCGCGAGGAATGTGCTAACGTTTTTGCCTCTTGCATTAATTCATACGAATGGGGGGCGCAATACATGGGTGTTGTAACGTGTGTTAATAAAGGCGTCTTCCTTTGTCACCGGTCTTTTTNGTTCTGGGTCCCCCGAGATCTCCTGCGGGTGAAAGTTGTTTTGATTTTTTTTTGCACTTTTTTTTTTTTTTTCTTTTATTTGCTTTTTTTTTTTTTTGCTTTTTTTTTTTTTTGCTTTTTTTTTTTTTTGCTTTTTTCCTTTTTTTTTTTTCCTTTTTCTTTTTTTTTCTTTTCTGTTCTTTTCTTTTTCTTTTTCTTTTTTTTTCCTCTTTCTCTTTTTTTATCTTTTTTCTTTTTTTTCTTTTCTTTTTTTTCCGGGTCTTGAGTTTGATATTTGGGAAATGTCAGGCGGTGGTGCGTGTGGTGTTTTTTTTACTGTGTTTGCCTGTAGAGAGACGAGGTCTGGTCGTCGGGGAGACAGGGTCGTTCGCTCCGCTTTGCGCGTTCGTGGGTGTGTTCTGGCCCGGATCTCTGCGGGTGAAAGTTTGTTTTGATTTTTTTTGCTTTTTTTTCGTTTTTTTCTCTTTTTATTGCTTTTTTTTGCTTTTTTTTTTGCTTTTTTTTTTTTTTATTTTTTTCTGCTTTTTCCTTTTCTTTTTTTACCTTTTTTGCTTTTTTTCCTTTTTTCTTTTCTTGTTCTTTTCTTTTCTTTTTTCTTTTTTTTCCTCTTTCTTTTTTTTTTTTTTTTTTTTTTTTCTTTCTTTTTTTTTCGGGTCTTGAGTTTGATATTTGGGAAATGTCAGGCGGTGGTTGCCGTGTGGTGTTTTTTACTGTGTTTTGCCTGTAGAGAGAACGAGGTCTGGTCGTCGGGAGACAGGGTCGTTCGCTCGCCTTTGCGCGTTCCGTGGGTGTGTTCTGGCCCCGGGATCTCCTGCGGTGAAAGTTGTTTTGATTTTTTTTTGCTTTTTTTTCGTTTTTTTTTCTTTTTATTGCTTTTTTTTGCTTTTTTTTTGCTTTTTTTCTTTTTTTTATTTTTTTTGCTTTTCCTTTTCTTTCTTTTTACCTTTTTTTGCTTTTTTTCCTTTTTCTTTTCTTTGTTCTTTTCTTTTTCTTTTTTCTTTTTTTTCCTCTTTCTTTTTTCTTTTTTCTTTTTTTCTTTTTTTTCTTACTTTTTTTTTTTTTCGGGGTCTTGAGTTTGATATTTGGGAAATGTCAGGCGGTGGTTGCGGTGTGGTGTTTTTTTCTGTGTTTTGCCTGTAGAGAGAACGAGGTCTGGTCGTCGGGAGACAGGGTCGTTCGTTCGCTCGCCTTTGCGCGTTTCCGTGGGTGTGTTCTGGCCGGATCTCCTGCGGGTGAAAGTTGTTTGATTTTTTTGCTTTTTTTTCGTTTTTTTCTCTTTTTATTGGCTTTTTTTTGCTTTTTTTTGCTTTTTTTTCTTTTTTTTACTTTTTTTGCTTTTCCTTTTCTTTCTTTTTACCTTTTTGCTTTTTTTCTTTTTCTTTTCTTGTTCTTTTCTTTTTCTTTTTTCTTTTTTTTCCTCTTTCTTTTTTCTTTTTTTTCTTTTTTTTTTCTTTTCTTTTTTTTCGGGGTCTTGAGTTTGATATTTGGAAATGTCAGGCGGTGGTTGCCGTGTGGTGTTTTTTACTGTGTTTTTTGCCTGTAGAGAGAACGAGGTCTGGTCGTCGGGAGACAGGGTCGTTCGCTCGCCTTTTGCGCGTTCCGTGGGGTGTGTTCTGGCCCCGGGATCTCCTGCGGGTGAAAGTTGTTTTGATTTTTTTTTTTTTTTTTCGTTTTTTTCTTCTTTTATGCTTTTTTTTGCTTTTTTTTGCTTTTTTTTCTTTTTTTATTTTTTTTTTCCTTTTCTTCTTTTACCTTTTTTTGCTTTTTCCTTTTTCTTTTCTGTTCTTTTCTTTTTCTTTTTTTCTTTTTTTTCCTCTTTCTTTTTTTTTTTTTTCTTTTTTTTTTTTTCTTTTTTTTTTTCGGGGTCTTGAGTTTGATATTTGGGAAATGTCAGGCGGTGGTTGCCGGTGGTGTTTTTTACTGTGTTTTGCCTGTAGAGAGAACGAGGTCTGGTCGTCGGGAGACAGGGTCGTTCGCTCGCCTTTGCGCGTTCCGTGGGTGTGTTCTGGCCCCGGGATCTCCTGCGGGTGAAAGTTGTTTTGATTTTTTTGCTTTTTTTCGTTTTTTTCTCTTTTTATTGCTTTTTTTTTTGCTTTTTTTTGCTTTTTTTTTTTTTTTTACTTTTTTGCTTTTTCCTTTTCTTTCTTTTTACCTTTTTTTTTTTTCCTTTTTCTTTTCTTTCTTTTTTCTTTTTCTTTTTTCTTTTTTTTTTCTTTTCTTTTTTTCTTTTTTTTTCTTTTCTTTTTTTCGGGTCTTGAGTTGATATTTGGGAAATGTCAGGCGGTGGTTGCCGTGTGGTGTTTTTTACTGTGTTTTGCCTGTAGAGAGAACGAGGTCTGGTCGTCGGAGACAGGGTCGTTCGCTCGCCTTGCGCGTTCCGTGGGTGTGTTCTGGCCCCGGGATCTCTGCGGGTGAAATTTTTTTGCTTTTTTTGTTTTTTTTTCGCTTTTTTGGCTTTTTTTTTTTTTTTTATTTTTTTGCTTTTCCTTTTTTTCTTTTTACCTTTTTTGCTTTTTTTCCTTTTCTTTTCTTGTTCTTTTCTTTTCTTTTTTCTTTTTTTCTCTTTCTTTTTTTCTTTTTTTCTTTTTTTTCTTTTTTTTTTTCGGGGTCTTGAGTCAGGCGAGTGGTTGCCGTTGTGGTGTTTTACTGTGTTTTGCCTGTAGAGAGAACGAGGTCTGGTCGTCGGGAGACAGGGTCGTTCGCTCGCCTTTGCGCCTTCCGTGGGTGTGTTCTGGCCCCGATCTCCTGCGGGTGGAAAGTTGTTGTTGATTTTTTTTTTTTTTTTTTTTCTCTTTTTATTGCTGTTTTTTTGCTTGCTTTTTTTCTTTTTTTTATTTTTGCTTTTTTTTTCTTTTTTTAACCTTTTTGCTTTTTTTCCTTCTTTTTTCTTTTCTTTTTCTTTTTTCTTTTTCCTTTTTTTTTTTTCTTTTTTTCTTTTTTTTTTCTTTTCTTTTTTTTCGGGGTCTTGAGTTTGAATATTTGGGAAATGTCAGGCGGTGGTTGCCGTGTGTGTTTTTTACTGTGTTTTGCCATGTAGAGAGAAACGAGGTTGGTCGTCGGGAGACAGTGTCGTTCGCTCGCCTTTGCGCGTTCCGTGGTGTTTCTGGCCCCGGATCTCCTTGATTTTTTTTTTTGTTTTTTCGTTTTTTTCTTTTATTGCTTTTTTTTGCTTTTTTTTTTTTTTTTCTTTTCTTTTGATTTTTTTGCTTTTTCCTTTTCTTTCTTTTTACCTTTTTTTTTTTTTCCTTTTTCTTTTCTTGTTCTTTTCTTTCTTTTTTTTTTTTTCCTCTTTCTTTTTTTTCTTTTTTTTCTTTTCTTTTTTTCGGATCTTGAGTTTGATATTTGGGAAATGTTCAGCGGTGGGT